CCTTTTATTGAGCCGCAATTTGAAAAAATTGTAGAACTATAAATTCCCACTGTCGTACGTCTGTTGTTCATCTGACCTTCCTTAATCTGTAAAAAGGAGTTAGACAATGCCAAAACCAGATATGGAAAGCTTAGTTGCAGGAGGCCCGATTAACTATATAGGTACTTCCGATTCAAACCGGAAGTCACGTTATTTCAATTTAAATATTTTCCTTTGAATGGAGTTAGACAGATAACCGGCAAAACTGTATTGCTGGCAGGAAAGTACAGTACTTACGCTTCCCCGACTTACGCTACCCCGACTTACGCGAACCCGGAGTTACGCGATTTTCAAATCTCGTCGATTCGTCTTTTGTTTGAACGCCACGCAACCCTTGATTGCTCACTCCCCCATACTATTGTTTAGCTTACATATTCGGACGTGTAGCGTGGAATCGACGCTTATCTACAATTTATTTTGTGTTATTCATTTCTGTGTTTGTTATATCTACGGAGACTCGAGAGACTCTACTATGTCATCCAAACGAAGTAGAACTGATTCTTCTGCATCGAAAAGCGAAAAGAATAACTTTATCTTTGGAATGTTAACATTATTAAAGACTTCGATAGAAAAATGAAAATTTGTGAATTAGCAAAGAAGTTTGATCTACCGAAATCGACGGTCAGAACAATTACAAAACGTAAAGAAAAAATTCTCGAAGCTGTGAAAAATGCTCAATCTTTAAATTAAGCATCATTGGTTAACGTCACGGTAAACAAATCGCTGAGATTGAAACAATGTTAAAATTATGGTGTGATAATCAAGTAAATGTGAAAAATTGTCCTGTTGATCAGAACACGGTGTGATCTCAAGCTAAGCTGGTTTTTGAGGGATTGAAAGAGGTTGCTGGAGAGGTGGCTAAAGATGAAGAGTTTAAAGCTAGTAACGGTTGGTTCAGCCGATGCAAAAGTCGCTGTAATTGGCATTGCATTGCAGAAAGTGGAGAGGCGGCAAGTGCTGATAAAGGGGTTGCGTCTTACTATTTAGAGAAATTCAAAGCTATGATAGATGAAGGTTGAATTTCTCTAAATAGTAAGACATGGTTTGGCTACACGTTGAATATGGTTTGGCTACACCAGCCAAACCATATTCAACGTAGATGAGACTGGCCTGCTCTGGAAGAAGATGCCTAAAAGATCTTTTGTCGCGCGTGAAGAGAAAATCTTTCCAGGTTTTAAGGCCGCCAAAGATCGATTGACAGTGATGGTTGGCGCGAATGCACCTGGTGATTGAAGTTAAAACCTCTCTTAGTTTATCGCTCGGAAAATCCAAGAGCATTGAAAAATAAATCGAAAGTTGGTTTGCCTGTGATTTGGAAGTCAAATCGTAAAGCTTGGGTGGCACTTCCCTTTTTGAGGACTGGTTTGGTCATCACTTCATACCTGAAGTCGAACGTTATTGCCAATCTAAACAAATCCCATTTAAAGTGATGCTAATAATCGACAACGCACCGGGTCATCCCCCTGCAACTTTAACTAATTTTCACTCACGTGTGAAAGTTGTATTTTTGCCACCAAATACAACCAGCTTGTTTCAACCGATGGATCAGGGAGTCATCAAAACATTGAAAGCTTATTACACGAGATGATCGTTGGCACATCTGCATGAAGCTATGAGAAAAAACAAAGAGCTCTCTGTTAAAGACTTTTGGAAACATTTTTTTCTAAATTATTGTTTTCTTTAGTCTCCGGCCCCAATTAAAAATAATTTGTATGTATTTATATGCGAAATTATACCACGACTTACGCGGTTATCGCTCAATCCCACCTATCGCGTAAGTTCGGTGTATTACAGTATTTAATTTTGTTTGTGCGCGTGTGTATTGTAGAGACAATATTAAATATAATACCGACAAAAGTTCGGGTCTTGACTGAACAGGAAAATTGTGTAATTACGAAAAGATATGAGGGTGAAACATTTGTTTATAACAACCACATCACCGACTAGCCCTTGGTTTTGTAGAAATTAAAAAAATAATTTTATTTGTACGAGTATACGTCTTATTATTTTAATATTTTTACTGCATTTATTTATTTACTTATTTATTAATATTAATTTTATAATTTTTTCAGATTTACTTATTTTACCCAAAGGTTTTAATAATTAGTTATTCAGCTGTTACTATATAATATTGTTAGATAATTTAATCAAAGAAGACAGAGTCTGTCCAAAAATATTTTTTGAAAACCATCTTTATTCTTATCATGTGTTCCAGAACACCTTCGACGACCGGACGTTTCTTTTGAGGCTACTAGGTCGTCAGGTCAAAACATTCCTTTAAAAACCAAACCAAAAAAAACCAAAAACTTTAAAAACCAAAGACGTCTGTAAGACCATCAGTTCCAACTTTTTACTTTATTGTTTTAATTGGATATTTTTTGTGTTTATGAGAGAGCTTCTAAAAAATATGAGAGAGCTTCTAATAATCTAATATGGATTAAAACTGTGAATTAAAATTCCTATCACCCTGAACTCCGCGCAAATATTAATGAAATAGTTCTAAAACTTATTTCAAAAAAGTGAAAATAACTGTAATTTAGGTGATACCAGTTCCATTTTCAATTTTGATTTTAATAAAATTTAATTTTAATTTTAGTCAATTTCCCTAAGCGAGTTCTCTTAGGGAAATTGACTCATACAACCAAACGTGAAAAGCGATTGCGAATTTTAAGAAGCCAATCATTTGCAAGCGAGAGAAAACGTCATCTCGAAAAACAAAATAACCGCTTTCGATATTCCGTCGATAACCACGTTTGTTTATTTATTGAGAAAGAAAGATACGTCGAAATAAGAAGACGATGATGATGAGAAGAATATTAAAAATCCGTAATTACAACACTTACTCTACTGCGTGAGAAAGTTAACACATAAACAGTATTTCCGTAGAAATATAAACTATGTTCCCCTATGTCAGAATCTCTTAAACGTTTTATCTGCGACCCCTTCATATAACAAAAGAATGTTTAGACTCGCCATGTCCAACCCGCGGCCCACTCAATGTTTTTGTGCGACTCTTTTAAAACAGTAATTATTTTGTATATATTTTTATTACAATGAAATATCACACGTATAGTTAAATACTCTAATATGATGTATAACACCTTGTTACGTACACTTAGAAATTAAAACAGTTATTAAATGAGGTTTTTACTTTATAATAATTTTTTTAATAATAAATTTATATTTAGAACAATCAAAATACCAGAAATCAGACGTTAAAAAGTTTTAAAATCGTAAATTTTTAAGCTTGGAAATAAATATAAAAATAAATGTCGTTTGGCAAAACTTTAATCTCGAATATTTTGATAAATATAAATTTACAAATATTTTACGCTACATTTTTTCGTTATCTCAACGATTTTTATCACACTATTTATGCAGCATCTTGTATACAGTAGATACACTATCCAAATTAGTTATAAAAACCATACGTAATTTAATTTTAGAACTAAAAGTAATCAATAAAAACTTTATAAAAGATTTATTTTGATTAAGCTTTTGGAAGTAAATAAATTTAATTAAGTTCTCCTAGGTAATATGATTTAAATGTAGAAACCAACGAGCTAGAATATACTTACATAGAGTGGCTGAACGCCATGTTCGAGGAAAATTGCATACATGTCTGCCATTTTTCTTTTAGTCAAGGGACGTAACATTCGTGTTGTGTAAGGGAAACGAACTAGAATATTTTAAATAGGATATAGTTTAGAAGTTACTGGTATATATATTTTTTTGATAAATACATAGCTGAAATAATTTTAGCATTGCAAAAGATAGTGTGATCGGTCTGAAAGAATTAGCATTTTTTTTTCTCTGCTAATAACTTTTATTGTAGAAGAATACCATTGTTTCGGAATAAAGTTGTGTTTCAGTAATCTGGAAAAAAGCTTAGACAATATGACGGCTGAAGAAATGTTGTAGTTTAGATAGAAAAATGGCAGTCACATGATTCAGACTAAAATTAAAAAGTTTTAGTTTGCCAATATGAAATTCACTTTTCATGAAATAATTTTTAAACTTTATAAAATAATAATAATTATCATAAATAGAGGTTATAAAAATATCTTTCATTAATCAAACGATATTTACTTTCAATTTTATTGTGAGAATGCAATGGGTAGAGATGGTTAATTGCTATCCCACTAACATCACATGTAAAAACTGCCTAAGAGATATGGGATAAAACACCCAATCTCCTGAGACCAAATGTGAGATCGATGGTGGTGAGGTCCCGCTCACGGGTTTAGGATGGACATCATTAAAAATTCCCCGCATATAAAACAAAACATATATATTATAATCAATGACCATGTCACATAACATGTTTATCACAACTTACTATGGAAAGTTATAGTCGCCCCACAAGAAAGATAAGACCAAAAANCATTTTTCATTTTTCTACAATTATATCCACAATAAAATCATCCTCGTCCAATTCGGAATCAAATAGTTATATCTGTAACGTAACATTTAAAATAGCAGCTTTGACAATATTATTTGCAGGAAATTGCCATATTTCTTGTTAGTGTTTGCGTTTACTTTTGAACTGGACATGTAAGCACGAATACACATGCTAATGACATCACTTCCGGTGTTCGGAAGTAGCACTATTAGCTCAGAAGTAAACACACCCTATGTAACAGACTGAAGAGGTGCGAAAGCCCGAAACGCGTATCTGTATGAATTAAAAGTGGATGATGAAATTATTTGCCAAGTGTCAATAAATTCACCAAGTTGTGACATTGAATTAGAAGAAATAAAAAGCATTCTTGTCATCACCCAGTTAACTTACTCTCTAGATCTTGCTTCCAGTGCTTTTGGCTGTTCCTTAATTAATTAACTCTCAAAATGGGCCACAAAGGGATGTGTTTTTCGCAAGCATGGAGGACATATCGAATATGACTGCTCAACTCCAGAAGATTCCAAAGGAAGCATTCCAAGCCTGCTTTCATGCTTGATCAATGGACAAGTATGTCTGTGCGGGAGAGGCCTGCTTTGAAGGTGATTACATCTGCATTGCTATATCTCATGCCAATATAGTGCAAGATGTCAATTCCGGAAACTTTTTGACTTCCCCTTGTATTAAATTTAAGATTATAATTGCAAAGGCTGGAACAGTAAAGGTATAACATTGCCAGGTTTAATTGGGAAACAAATACTAAGAAATTTCTGTGGTTATGTTAGGTTCTGTTCCTTACCATTCAGGGAATGATCAAAGTCATGATGGACACAAAGAAAAGACTCTGTTATTGTGACATTGTCATGATGCCAGTCTGCAATTTTTAATATTTTTAATTAATATAAAATGGCAAAACGCTTAATTTTGGGCATTGGGATGGGTTTGATAAAAAAAATTGTAAATACTAATAACGAGCAAAATTGTCATTAAGTCCGACCGGAAATGCATACGACCCCATTATCTTTCCATCCCCTCGACATTTAACCACCAAAATTTAATACCATCAATTCCCCTAATAGACAAACCACCCTGAAAATTTTCAGAAATTTTCGACAAATTTTCGTCAATTTGTCTTAAGTCCAAGAATGTAAAAATCTTGAAGATCGTTTTTTGATTGATTGCCATACTTTCCCTCTGTTATAGACTATATAACAGCCAGAAAAGTAATAAGGTTAATAAGTTTAAAACGTTTAAGGTTGTCAAATTAGCACATTATTGAAGTCAAAAGATAACACGAGTAAGGAAAAAGGTACTGTACATTCAGTATTTCGGTTTCTGCGCTTTTATTTCCACCAAGCATCGAACGTCCATGACTAACATCGATAGTGTGCAAAACATTGGCGATGTGTGCATGTTTTAGAAATTAGAAGTAAAACAAAAATATTACAGAACAATATGGTATTTTACAATAATACACAATGCAAAATATTATTCAAATAAATAGAGAACGCGTCTTGGTGAAATGGCTCAAAATCTATTAATTTGCTGGGGAAATTTTGAACTAAAGAATACAAACGTAAGGAGAGCTCAAAAGTTACCGACGAAGAAAACTTAAAGGAAGAAATTGCTAAAAATCGACGAATAACACAATGTGTAGAACCAAACACGCCAAAAATAAAGTGATAAAAGCACTGAAAATATTCCAGCGTAATACCAAAGCCAAAGCGGAAGACAGCTTGCTTGGGCGAGCAACAAATTGCGCTTCGAGAGCATTTTTCACTTCGCGCGCAGTTCGAACTTTGAAGCATCATCCGAACTCCGAAATGATTTTTGTTGAATTTACTAGTTGAAGTACGAAGTTAAATATATATTTTTAACTGATGACCAGCTTCGTTTAATGTTTTTGCCTATTCATTTCATAACAATTAGCTTCGTCGCTTCGTTCCACTTACACTTAGACTATTAACTGTCTTTTTAGACAGCGTTGAATAGCGATTTTTAATTACGATTTTCGGTATTTTAGGATGTTGTTAAATTTACTTTGAATATAAAATATTTTCGGCAATAAAAATTTAGTTGTGCTTTCTCTTGCGACATTCATTTTCTTTTTAGATTAATTCAATAGCATCTTGATATATTAGTATGAAAACTAAAATAAATATTTAATTGAATTAATCAGACGTTTAGTTGCTATAATTCGTACAATTTTAGATTATCGCCGTTTCATATATTTTTTAAGATAATGACAATTTCTGATATCTCTCGAGAAAGATGGAATAAGAGTATCAAACGTCTTAGATTCAATTATTTAATTTTATCAGTTATAATTTTTAGTTATTTTATGAAAATTATATGTCAAATATTCATTTTTCTAAGTCATAAATTCAATTTACATTTAATTCTACAGACATCACACTCGACTTCAAAAAGTACCCAAGCTCAAGAAAAAGCTTATTGTGAAATTAGGAATCTTCTCTCAAGAGGACAACCTTTAAAACAAAAAATAATGAACGAGCTTCATTATGTCAAGGCTTGTATTAAAGAAAGCATGAGGTAATTAAACCTGTTTCAATAGTTTCCCTCGATATTGTAGTAAACTTTAACATTTAAACATTATTACAATACAATTTCTTATCTTTTCCCAATAGTTACAGGCGCTGTAAGGTGTTTAGATCACGATATCGTACTCTCCGGATATAGAATTCCAACAGGGGTGTGCTTAAATTGATTATTTTGAAGTATATGTACCGATATAAAATGTAAATTAATAAAAGTTTCCTTTGTTTCAAGTAGTTTTTATGTTTCAGAATTTAGTAGCTTGTCGTCAGGAACAATACTTTTACCAAGCTGATAAGTTTATTCCCGAGAGATGGTTGGAAGATGATAAACAACATCATCCTTTTCTGTTTTTACCCTTTGGATTTGGAAAAAGAATGTACATTGGACGAAGAATTGCCGAACAAGAGATGCTTCTTCTAATTACAAAAGTTAATATCTAATTATACTCGTATTTAAGATTTATTTACAATTACTTTTATAATGTAATATAGTTTTTATCGTTTATTTTGCAGATAGTACAAAATTTTCATGTTGAATATAATTACGAAGATATCGATTGTTATTATAGACTGGGCAATGTTCTGGATAAGCCTTTGAGATTCATATTTATTGATCGACAGTAAATCGATATTATAAAGTGTACCTCGAAAATCTGAATACATGTAATGTATTGAGATTTTCGGGGTACTCTTTATTTGATAGAAATCTGGTTTTCTCAGCAGTATTTTCTCATTTGCATGGCTTCCACATATAATTAATTTTATATTTTATCTGTAATGATAATGGCAGGCTAAAATAAACAATTGAAGTATATGTCGTAATGCGTGCCGAATCCATTGGTGACCATAAAATTGATCTCGAAAGGGCATTTTTAAGATCATTCAAGAATATCTTTTACAATTTTTTTTATAAAAATTAATATTACCCTCAGAATTATGCGTTTTGCCATTTTATATTAATATAAAATGTTTTAAAAATAAAATCTCATAAGTATACAGTAGATACACTATCCAAATTAGTTATANAATATATAAACTATACTTTTTTTATTTAAGTTTAATTCTTTACGTGAAATAATATACGATTATATTGTTGTATGAGAAAAGAATTTATTGTTAACTTCAGAGTAAAATAATTTAATTTAATAAAATAACAGTTTAAAAAAGTAATTTAAAATATATTAAAAATATTTTATTTTTAAAATATACATTAACTCCAATCTTTAGTTGAGGTGATTTCGGCACTAAATTCTGAAATTACAATCACACGAATACAAAATCCAGTGATAATATAAAACTTGTAAAGTATTTTGATTTTATATTTACAGTTCAGTGGTATAAGCTAGAAATATATTATTCTTTTATTTATCGTGATTAATGCAACGTATTTATTACAAAGTGCATCGAAGTATGCATGATTATTATTTCCTTATTATACGTCCAATTTGGAAATAAAACATCGCATTTTTAGTAGGCTTATTTTTCAAATAAACCTGTTGCTTTCAGAATGATTCATACATTCTTACTATAAATACACAATTCATCAAAACGAAAAATCTGATACTGAAAACGAACGATTAATTTAAAAATTTAGCAACGAATTGCTTAACTTTCCCGGTAACATTTGGTAGCGCCATTTCTTAAGATATTTTATTTAAAAATTTGTTTTTTATATTAACTATTATAAATATCTTTAATAATATTTATTAAATTTAGTTATTTAAAAGGAATATTTTCATGTCAATATTTTATTTTTGATTCTCTCTGAAATTATTTTTATATTTTAAAATACTATAGTAAATTTTTAATTTCTTATCTAATCCTTTTTATAAAAAAAAACCCGGATTTTTAGTTAATAATTTTTATAGCGTACATAATTATTGATCAATATTAATTTTATTAATAGTTACAATAGATGGACGTATTTTTACACTGATCAATAGTATAGGGTAGTACTGTACCTATCTATCCAATCGTTGTCTCGCGAGAACTTTTTTATCCAATCATCACTCTTTATTACGTCTTTTCAGACGTCACTTAGACAACAATCGAACAAAGTTAGTAAATTTTCCGTGTTATGTCCGACGATACACACAATGTTCGGAGATTACGAAAATTTTCTTACATTTATTGGTTTAATTTTCGTTTCTGGCTTTCTGCTGTCGATTATTAAAGAAGTTTTCCGTGGAATTCGTTTGTACTTGCTTCCTACATTCGTTCCACCCGATTTTAAAAAGTATGGCGAATGGGTCGTGATCACCGGTGGAAGCGCAGGTATAGGAAAGTGTACGGCTCAACAATTGGCAAAATTTGGCTTGAACTTGGTACTGGTTAGCAACGAGTCAGAAGAATTAAAGATGACGGCAGAAGACATCCAAGCCGAATTCGGTGTGAAGTGTTGTGACGTAATGGCCGATCTGACAGGAGGAAAGAAAGCTTATGACTCTTTGTGGGCTAAAATTCAAGATAAAGACGTCGGGATTTTTATTAATTGCGCAGGTATCGACGGTAAGTCACCGTGTCTTTTTCTAGAAGAAACGGAAAGAAACATTCAGATAATGATGGCTTTAAATATGAATGTTGTGGTCGATACCACGTATAGATTATGTAATTACTATTTAAAAAAGAAAAAAGGGGTTATAGTTAATATATCGTCGTTGTCGTCTTTTTTTCCTACTCCGTATTACGCTACTTATTCCGCATGCAAAAAATTTGTGGATGACTTCAGTAAAGCCGTAATGACGGAATTATCTGGAACAAACGTAACCTTGCAGTCTCTAACGCCATTTTTTGTTAATACTAGAATGTTAAGCGATAAACCTTATTTAATGACGTTAGGTCCATTTGTACCGTCGACCGAGACTTTTTGCCAAAGTTGGGCTAAAAGTATAGGAATAAGCAATACATGTAGCGGTTTCTGGTTGCACGAGGTTTTAGCTTATTGTACTCGTTTTTGTCCTTCTTTTATATTGAATTTAAGTATGGGTAAAATATATTCAAATGCAGAAAAATTTAGAAAAGAAGTCCGTAATGAAACTAATGCAGAAATTAATTAATTGATAACAAATTTTCTGTAAATATTGAATTGACTTCTCTATAATAGATTTTTGCCATTAAAAGTATTGTTTTCTTTGTGCAGGCAAAATGCTTTTCTGAACTTTAAAATTATAATATAAACATTTATCAAATGAATAATATTAACTTTAAACTGAACTGAATATAATGCGAGACTTAATGTAATTTTCTCGTGTAATTTTAAATATCTATATTGATATAACGTTTACTGTTTAATAGCAATCAATAACTGTATTTTTACATATATTTAATATTTGTACTTAATTTCTATAATTTTTATTTAGTTTTATGCATGTAAAATTTCAATAAAATAACTTTATACTTATCCAATGTTCGATCTAATTTAAAATATTTTATAACAATTAATTAACACTGAGGACAAAGTCTGTCAAACAGCCACCTTTTTTATTCATTTTTATGTTCCGGAATACACTCCATGATCATCTGACCGTTTCTTTGAGGCTACTTGGTCGCCAAGCTTTAAAATCTCTCTTAAAACACGAAAAAATATATTCGGTTAAAAAAAGTAGGAGTAGAGACAAACAGACGTTTTCTTGCTTTTCCATTCGTACGTTCTATTGGCTATATTATTGTTTGAATTTTTATGTATTGAGAAAAACCTAATATATAAATTTTAAGTTCGTCTCTGGCAATAAATCCTTGTAAAATATTTTCAATTTTGTAAAATTCTCTCGAATGGTAATATTATAAAATTGGAAATAATGTATAGGCCACTGTTTAACTGTGAACATTTTGTGATGTAAACTTGATGTACAGTACATGTACAGTTCATTATCTGTTTTCAATGAAGTTTTTCTTAATAAGAAATCTTCCTATTTCAAGTTTTAAAAAAAAAAAATATAACGAATGTATAATAGTTAGGAGATCGATACGGGAGTTCGAAAAAAACCCAGGAATATTTCGAGTAGTAGTTTGTACCAGATACGTCGACCTCCTCTCTCACCATCCTGTTTCCCCATTGTAGGCTGGACGAATCCACCATGATGAGCATGAAAAAAGTGCCTACAGAGTGGGAACAGTTTGAAAAAGCCCATAAATGTAAGCAAGAATGTGGAGATTTTCTTTATTTTACTGTACAATTTATTTTGATGTTATCTGTAGACTGCTTATTTACTAATTATGCTAATACAATTATTAGTTTTTAATATATAGTTTTAAACATTAAATTTTTAATGTTATTTTTCGATATTTAACTTTTATTTACATTTATTTACAAGTGTTTATTATAAAAACTAACAGGTAAAAGCTGTGCTTTATTTTTTTTCTAAATTCTGTATTCATAGCATTTGATGTTAAATAAAAGTAACAAAGTTATATTTATTTATTAATATTATTGTATTAACCTTCTATACACAACAATTTAAAATATAACAACAAAATTTTTACTTGTATATAACATCACAGAAATACAGTACGTGAATATGTCTAAAAGTACATTAAGACATGTGTACACTGCAGTCATAATGAAATTTTAATTCTAATATTTATGTGGTTTACTTTTACAAACAGCATTTTAAAAAATTATTAATAATTTTTCAGTAGGTAAAATATATTCAAATTTCGATTTAGCGCTGCCAATTCTTCGCCTCTACACTCTCGTTAAATGGAATGTGGCTCTAAACTGAAGTAGACAATAAGAATAGACGACATGAGGGTATTCTGTTATGTTACAATCATTCCAAATTCTATTGTTTTGCATGGACGAAGGGATGATGACGGTATATGAGAGATAAATAAATCCGTTTCTCACATACCAACGTTGCAAACCGTAGAAATTACGAAAGTCTGTATTCGTCTCTGCGGCACACTATTTTGTGGATATATTTATCCTGAAATAATTACATAATGTGAAGTTGTCGAACTGTGATTCAAAATCAGGACAGAAAAGAAGTGGAGATTCGTATGTGGGTGTGACGGATAATGAGACAGACTCGACAGTTACAAAAATATTCGTTCCGATTTGTTGATACAAACGGGTTTATAGAAACTCGGTGATATGGGTGTTCTCGCAAGCGATAAGCGGATGGATCTTCTCCTTTAGAAGATAGTCTCGAGAGCAGAGATTATTTCGGAGAGAGAAAGGTTCTTTAGTCATCTCGATGCCCCAGGGGCGATGTTGTCAACGTCCAAAGTGAAAGTTATGTCGATCCGGAGAAAAAGTCGATGGTGAGATTGGAGACAGAACAAAGAAAGGTCTGGCACTTAGAAAAACGAATGGACAAGCTCCCGCATCCTTGAAATTAGGAGGTTATTATTATTTTCTGTTTCTGATTGCCCATTCCGATTGGTCGCTTTTCCTCGTTCTTGCTGTCTAAATGGTCAGTCACTCGTTACTACGTGTAACGAAATCTCAACTTATGGGTTAAAATCGGCATTTAATTCGAAGATAGTTGATCTCGGGACTTACGTTATTTTTTTGTCATATTTCCGGAAAAAAAAAAAGTTTTTTCTTCCTTATCATTATTATTATTATTTCCTTTTTTTAGGAAGAAATATATTAAATATTAAATAATTTAGTGGGGCTTCGGAACATTTCGGAGCTTCACTATAATAAAAACTTAAACATCATAACAGTCAAAAAACTTTGATATTCTGACATAATATCTTCATCCACTCGATTCTTTAATTTTATGTATTAAAAAAAAATAAAAAATAGTAGTGAGATCTACACACGAGTTTGAGAGTTCGATTAGTCTCCAATAACAATGTAGTGAAGTGTCCATCACTTGTTAAGAGTCCGAATAAGGAAATCTCTTTTAAAAAGTACTCGTTATTCTAGGACAACGAAAAAAGAATAAACTAATAAATGTTGAGTTCCGTTTACAGTTGCACAAAAAAATAGCAGAAACTAGTTTCGGTTTATAGTTTTATGTCTCATTCAAGAATTTATTGATTTAAGAAATACAATAGATACTTTTTTTNAGTGGAGATTCGTATGTGGGTGTGACGGATAATGAGACAGACTCGACAGTTACAAAAATATTCGTTCCGATTTGTTGATACAAACGGGTTTATAGAAACTCGGTGATATGGGTGTTCTCGCAAGCGATAAGCGGATGGATCTTCTCCTTTAGAAGATAGTCTCGAGAGCAGAGATTATTTCGGAGAGAGAAAGGTTCTTTAGTCATCTCGATGCCCCAGGGGCGATGTTGTCAACGTCCAAAGTGAAAGTTATGTCGATCCGGAGAAAAAGTCGATGGTGAGATTGGAGACAGAACAAAGAAAGGTCTGGCACTTAGAAAAACGAATGGACAAGCTCCCGCATCCTTGAAATTAGGAGGTTATTATTATTTTCTGTTTCTGATTGCCCATTCCGATTGGTCGCTTTTCCTCGTTCTTGCTGTCTAAATGGTCAGTCACTCGTTACTACGTGTAACGAAATCTCAACTTATGGGTTAAAATCGGCATTTAATTCGAAGATAGTTGATCTCGGGACTTACGTTATTTTTTTGTCATATTTCCGGAAAAAAAAAAGTTTTTTCTTCCTTATCATTATTATTATTATTTCCTTTTTTTAGGAAGAAATATATTAAATATTAAATAATTTAGTGGGGCTTCGGAACATTTCGGAGCTTCACTATAATAAAAACTTAAACATCATAACAGTCAAAAAACTTTGATATTCTGACATAATATCTTCATCCACTCGATTCTTTAATTTTATGTATTAAAAAACAGAATAAAAAATAGTAGTGAGATCTACACACGAGTTTGAGAGTTCGATTAGTCTCCAATAACAATGTAGTGAAGTGTCCATCACTTGTTAAGAGTCCGAATAAGGAAATCTCTTTTAAAAAGTACTCGTTATTCTAGGACAACAAAAAAAGAATAAACTAATAAATGTTGAGTTCCGTTTACAGTTGCACAAAAAAATAGCAGAAACTAGTTTCGGTTTATAGTTTTATGTCTCATTCAAGAATTTATTGATTTAAGAAATACAATAGATACTTTTTTTATTCTTACCGCCCTAGGCAATAAGTGAATAACCTTTAGCGTAATCATTTCGAATCGGTTTAAACCCTCACACGATTAAGGACCAAATAGAAGTAACTTATTTATGCTTTTCAAGTTTTATAAAATATAAATCTAACAGTAGATATATAAATAACATCTAGTGGCGTGTTATGGGAATATCATAATTTATAAAATTTATAAACAAATCTGATAGAGTATTATCTACGTCATCGTTAAAATCGCACTGTAACTTTGCGGATTAACTTATGAAAGATAGCAGAGGATTCAAACCAGACCTTAAAATAGACTTCCCAAACATAAAGCAGAACTATTGTCACACTTCAACAAATTTAAAGTGTTTCAATGTGTTTTACCTATTGTACTATGAGTAATTATGATTGTCACATGTAATATTAATTGCTTATTAATTTACAGAAAAGATAATAACTGATTACATTTTGTTACTTTTAGTGTTCTAATGTTAATTAATATAACACACATTAATTTATGTGCAAGTTTTAAATTTTAAATTTTCGCAAAGAAGAATGTTGGTAAAACTTTCATCGAGAGAAAAATAACATGCCGTATATTATTATTATTATTTTAAATAAATTTTCTTTTTGCTTAAAAATTTAAACAAATATTAATTATCGATTAATAAATTATTTAGAAATAAACTTAATGCAATTATAAAAAATTTAATTTAAAATATAATATCAATAGTAAATGATTATTTTTTAAACACTAGATGGCAACGCTAATTTCGCTTTTCAAATGATTGATCAGCATCCCGTACAATACAAAGTATTATTATAAATGTTTATTTATTTTTTAGATTATTTTTAGAATTGCGATACCGAAAAGTTTTATAAATCACTTCTCGTATTTTCAATGATTCTTTTAAATTAAATTATTTCGATTTTTCTGTGCTGTATTATATACAGGTATACCTCGCCTTACGTCGGTAATTGGTTCCAGGAAAACGACGTAAGTCGAAAAACGACGTAAGTCGAATTTACCTGTCTCCGAATCTACTTATCACTAGGAAAGCATTTTAAATAATATATGGTTAATAAAAATCTATTTTAAGCTTACAAACAAATAAATTTTAGTTTTTAATATAGTACAAAAAAAGTAATCTAAATTTACGAATGCGTGTACTGTAAATACAGTACATACTTGTATATATTTTAATATGATTTTATGTGCTTTAAACGTTTATCTAGTGATATTACGACTTCAATATTTGTGGCGGACAGACGTAAAGTCGAATAAAATGAC